TAAGCAAACACCTTTCATTTCGATCGATCTTAATAAAATCATTTTAAGCCTTTGGATTCGATCTAAGTTAGTGCCAATGAATGCATTTCACTGAATCTATTTGTATGGGATTGTCTCTTCCCAAATGATACTGTTTTTCTTTTGAATACATAGTTGCTACGTATATTTCTTTCAAGAAGAAAAATTTGAATTCTTTCTCTTTCGATGAGTAAAAGTCCATAAACCAAGTAGATAAAAAACTGCCAATACAGAATAATTTTGGGTTATATCAAAGGACAAAAAATAACTATCTAAATATCGGTACTCATGCAAGGATCTAATTTTCTTCTGTTTGCATGTTTTTCGAAGATGAGCAGTCATTTTTTACAGGCAATAATCTAATGCATCAGCATGTTGTATATTTCTAGTTGTAATAGTATTGTAGATATGCTAGATAAGAAAAGGTAATAAGTAGCCTATCTTGGATGCATATTTTTTTGTTTTCTGTCAACTATATGATTTACGTGTTTTCGTTTGCAGGTAGTGAATCTTGTTGAAATATTCAGCCTTGTTCGAGATTTTCGCATGTTGTCAGTAAATACATTGAGAACTGTCGATGCGAAAAAATCAATTTACTAGAATATTTATCAGAATTCTACTCGTTTAGGAAATTATTTGTTTATGGAATTCATAACTGTTGAAAGTTTCACATTTCTATTTCCAATCGATTGATCACTTGTTTTGAAGATTTATCGAATGAAATTCTCTACGAAATTTTCCATTTAATCAATGGCTATCATATATAGGAATCATTTTCGAAACTCAATGCTCGTTTTGAAGATCTTGTTATCAACTCGTCTCATCCTTTGAAATCCAATCTAGCTGTTATATCGAAAGCAAGTTTTGAACACCATTTGGCTCACATCGTAATCATCTAATCATCGGTCGAGTGTGGGTATGTGTATTGAAAATAGAACTACAGGTGCACCACTATTCCACACACTTACATCCATACCCACATTGACCTTGAAAGCCGAACCAGAGTCGGCTTTTTAAATTTTGTTTTAAACAAAACCCTTGAAGTCTTCGATAGATGCAAAGATTTTTCAAATTTTTTTGAGAAATATTGATTGTTCAAGTCTTAAGATTAAATTTTACACTATATAGATTTGTGTTATTTTTTTCATTTAAATCCTTAGAATGTAATCGGTTTAATCTCGATAATCAAGAAGCCAAAGTTCCTTAAAATAAATTAAAAGATTTTCATATCTACCTGATAATTGAATGACTCCGATTTCACGTAGTGTTTTGGGAATCAAACCGAAATCGTTTTTTTTTCCTTATTTTTACCATTGGAAACCGCTGAACTCAACTTGATTTCTTCTGTATTCTGCACAGATCGACAAGTAACAATATGAGTTAAGGAAATTTGCATGTTGGATTTTTAAGAGATATACAAATTTAAATTTATTTATGAGATATTTCAAACTATTCAAGACAAAATACTTCAAATTTAAAAAGTACTAATCATGAAAATAAAGTATAACAGAGCAACAACGAATATATATAGTGGCTAACTGTAATTGAAAAACTCAAAATAATAATAGCAATTTGATGCATCAATGCAAACATTCTGTTGAGTCATCAAGATTAATGTTTCATTATTATCTTTGTGTTTATATTTAAAAAAATTGATAAGATTCAAAAATGAGTTTTGTCCATTAAAAGAAAGGAATAAAATAAAAAGTCACTTAAATATAACTTGAAATTCGATGTTCTGTGAAACATTATGTAATTCATTCTGTATTTACATTATTTTCTGTGGTACTTGTTTGTCTGATAGTACACTTCCGAGCACTTGTAACATTACTTCTTCAATAGACGACAATTATTTATTAATCTTCTCCATCCATCTAAATCTAATAATTTTTCGACATTGTTACTATTAGTAATTAGTCGAATCGATCGAATATTGTACATATATTTGATGAAATCACTCATTGTCATCAAGAAACATGAATGATGATGTTGCAAGCAATCACTCATTGAAAATAATGGAAATTCACCCATATCAAGAAGAAAATATTTAATCGTAAATTGTCTTTCATATGTCATATTGAAATTACATATGTCAGAGTGATTATAAAGTACTCCCGCACAATGAATTTCTAATCTTTTAATTGAATTTTGAAGATTTTCGAAGATAATACTCAAAAAACGAAAACTAACTTCATTATCATACCAAAGAGAAAGACGAATCAATCTTGGAAAATGTTTTACGTAATTGTTGATTGAATATATTTCTTGATAATTAATAAGAGTCAATGAGGTGACATTGGTAAAAATTCTCAATGAATTTAATTTTGATTCTGTTTGATATCTAGTTGTATTAAGACGTAAGGAAACAATTTGTTCAGACTTGAGTTTTCGAAGAATTACGTTAAGAAATACATCAGAAGGATCACAAATCTCTACTTTTGGTTCATCTGGACATAATAAAGGAAGAATAGCAGTGGAAAATGCTTTGATTGCATCGTTTAATATGAGATATTTGGCTGTTTCAAAAAATACAGTCTTCAAAACATCATGCTTGGTAATAAAGTCGAATGGTTGAAACTGAATAAAGGAGATATATATACAGTATATATGAATTATTTTATGTGATTTTTTCAATTTCTTAGAATTGCTTTTTTCTATGCTTATTAAAACTGATAACATATTTAAAACAAAAAACTCACTAAAACTTGTTCATTTTCATCACATACTTCTTTGAACACTGCCAATTCTTTGAGTATCAGTGCTTCACTAACTTTTTGTTGGGTTCGTATCAAAGTATCACCTTGAAGCAATGATTTGAATTGATATTCGAATATTAACGAACCATTATTTTTCTCTACAAAATTTCGTATGATTCCAACAAGCATTGGACATTGATCGGTTGTAAAATCCCTCAGAATTTCAGGTGAGAACATTTTTTTCAAGCTTTCTTCAATTTGATTTAAAAATAAAATATTTCTTTACTAACAGATGCTTAACATTATGTCGTTTCAAATGATCTGATTTGATCTCAAAAAATAACTATGATTCATGGAAAATGAGTTTTTCTATTGAAAGAATATTTTAAATTTTGATAAATTTATTTTAATATTCACTTTGTTTATTATGAAATAATAGATCACTTACGTGTTTCTATTCGATTTTAAAGTAACATCCCATGACCATACAATATAATTTTCAAATAAATAATCGATAATCTTTCTTGAACAGAATATACTTTCACAGAAGATATTACTGAACATGCTTGTATTGTCATGTATATAGACAAGTACTGAACGACGCTAAATTAAAATATTATTTATGTATTTTATAAAGAACAGATCTGAACAAACTTCTTCAATTATTGTCACATGAAACGCTGATTTGCATGTTCCTTGAAGAGAACCCACAAAGAATATTGGACAAGCGTTGCAACGTCGTTCGAAACATTTATGAAATGCTTCAATGCCAACTATTTCGTTTGGATATTCTTTGGGAACTGATAAATGATATATCAATCAAAACAAAAAATCATATCTTTTTTTTTGTTTTCAACGAAGGACAACTTACAAGGAGTAGGAGGGATGACATAATTTTCATCGTCAAGCATATCATTGTCAGCTATTTCCAGGCTATTATTCGACATAGAAAAATGAATAGAATTGCTTTTGAAAATCTCAATCTAGAACTAATCTATTGCAAATATCGTCGGCAATCGAAAGTGTATTACTTTGTACATGTGAGTTCAGTTTATTCAAAAACGCTAACCACAGAGTATATAAAGAGAAGAACAACGTAAAGATTAGGGGTGTCAACTTTGCGTTCCGTTCCTAGGAACGGGGAACGCTACCCCGTTCCTAGGAACGGGGAACGCCACCCCGTTCCCCGTTCCTAGGAACGAGGAACGCTACCCCGTTCCCGTTCCTGGGAACGGGGAACGCTTCCGCGTTCCTCAGCGTTCCGTTCCTAGGAATGGGAACGCAATATACGTTTCTTTCACTTTTAACAGAAATTTTACTAATTCACCGAAGGAAAGCCAATTTCATAAAAATTAGGGATGTTAACGTGCCCCGTTCCCCAGCGTTCCGTTCCTAGGAACGGAACGCCGAGGAACGGGGAACGCTGACACCCCTAGTAAAGATCGAAGAACAGGATAGATAGGCCAAAAATAGAAAGGCCATACACACATATATATATAAGTAGCTGGGAAAAATCTAACATCAGGTGCGAAATATGGAAGGAAAAAATACTACTATATGTCCTATAACTTGAAAGGAATAAACCAACATATAATGTACTTGTGTATATTGGACGTATCCTCAACAGAAAACATCTTAAAATTTCTTATTTCTTGAAAGTTTTTTTATTTGCAAAAATGAACAGGAATAAGAAATGCTTATTTTATGTAAAATTAAAAAGCAAACGTACCATTATAATAAATATTTCTTTTTATCAATCAGAGAGATCGAGAAAAAAATATCGAGCGCCCACACTGTTGTAACAGATTTATAAAAAAAAGAGAATGATGCTGTCGGTTGCGTATTTACTGATTATGTTAATATAGAATTATTTTGGCAAAAACCACTTTTATTCTTCGAACAACATAAAATGCCTCATACTTTTAAACAAACATTAGTTTGTATCCAACGATAACGACTGAGAAAGATAAGACAAAACTTACATATTCTGTTTTTATTATTTTTCCATGTCCATAGAACAAAACAAAACGAAACTTGTGTAAGAAAAACATATTGACAATGTATCTTAAATTAGACTTGTTATTACTTATTTCAAGTCTTTCAACTGGTTATGTCGAAAAACCTCAATACTAACGTATGGATGGAATTCTATATGATAAATTAAGCAGAGAGTAAATTGAAACTTAAAACATGAGACTTTTTGACACACATATTTTCATGAATAACGTTATTAATAATCTTGTTGAAAAAAAAACGTACTTTCACCAATTAAAACTGATTCTCTAAATGTATAATTATCGATATAATCGATTTTCTCTTCTTTTCCTGACAAACTACTTTCCCGATGGTCAACTATTAAATGCCTTTTTGGATGATGGTTGTATTTTAGCACGAATTATACATGAAAAATATCCACATTTGACAAATATGATACATGGTAGTAATGAAGAAACAACGGCTGATATAACACAATTACGTAAATTATTCAAAAATTAAAAATTCTAGTCATTAATGTTAGTGATAGTGTAACAAAATCAAAATTTGATAATAATTATGCTTGTGGTGAAAGTCTTATTGATGGTATTAAACGTGCTATAGATATCATGATTGGAGGAAAAGTAATAGTACTTATTGGATATGGTAATGTTGGAAAATGATGTGCAAAAGTATTAAGTAGTTATGATTCACAAGTTATTGTTACTGAAATCGATCCAATTTGTGCTTTACAAGCTGTTATGGATGGTAAATAATATCTCTGTGTCTATTGATTATAATGAATGATAAACAAATTTTTCAAGGTTATCAAGTAACAACAATGGCTGAAGCTTGTAAAATCACAATAGTTATACAATCGTTCAAAGAGTATCAATAGGTACTTATAGTCAAAACAAATAAATAAGAAGTAGTTTTGGTACATTTTTACTCTAAAACTTATCATAATGTTTAGATCAAAGAAATCAGATGTAATTTTTCAGAAATCATTATTTTCTGAGAGGAAGCTTACTTAAGAGAAGACGAGTAATTTATTTGATCGATAGTACGACCAATTGACGTTAAGAACATGTTTAGTTCATTATGTTTCTAACATGACAAGTAATTACCTAATTTATGCGACTACAAGTCTTTCAGAATAATGAATAGGACATTTCGTATGAGTTTTTAGGTGATTTAATTAATCTTTCTGCTGCCCCATATATATATATATTCTTGCTGTAGAAACGCATCTGTTTGAAATTTGACGTTTCAATGAGGGATTTCAATTCGTGTTGGTCACTTAACTATCGACAAAGATTAATCCTTCCTGCTGAATTAAATAGAATGAGTTACAATAGATCAACAATGCAAAATATACATTAACTGTATCACTATGATACGAATGAATACAAAAGAATTTAAATCTTTCTTGTACAAACATGTACTACAAGACAAACAAAAGTACTCAGCCACTGAGGCCATAATCGTCATTTCTTCTATAAGAGCATCCTATTCTCCCTCAATTCATAAGGTTTCTTTTTTCAAATTATTTAACCAATCAAAGCCTTTTCTTTTTTGTCGCGCTCAATAGTCCGGTCTGTATTCTTTCACACAGACATTTACCACACTAGATTTCCGATGCAAGTGGATCGGTGACAAAGTAGCACTACATAACGATCATCAGTTTTTCACCACAGACACTCACCATTATAGATCTGGCATACAATCATATCCAAGACGCAGGAGCATAACATCTGGCTGATGCACTACAACATAACATGGTAATCCTGATACTCTCTTCATTTTACTCATATACCTATCTCTAATTTGTCAAACAGACACTCACTATACTAGATCTTGGATACAATAAAATCCAAGACATTGAAGCATAACATCTGGCTGATGCATTACAACATAACGCAGTGACTTTCTTTCTTTCTTCATCTTTCTCACATATCTATCTCCACTTTTTCACACAGGCACTTATTACACTAGATCTTCGATTCAATCAAATCGAAGCTCTCTTAGCACAATATCTGGCTAATGCGTTACAACATAATACAGTGACTCTAATTCTCTCTTTCTCTCTCTAATATACCCGTCTGCACTTTTTCATAGACACTCAGAGTACAACATCTGGCTGAGATATTACAACATAACGCAGTGACTTTCATTCGTTCTTCATTTCTCTCATAGACCCATATCCAATTTTTCACGCAGACACTCATTGAACTAGATTTCCACGACTGCTGGTTCGGAGACGAACTTAGCTGTCGTACAAAGGACCTGATGGAACGGAATAAGCAGAGAAAGAAACTCGTTAGCATTAGTATTGAAAATGGTGCGGTATAGAAATGAAACAGTTTGTTGAATGTTTGAATGACTGTTTTTTAATTTTTTTTTTCAAAAATAATGATTCAGCATTTTAGCTTTTTATATGGTATGCTTAATCGTGAATATATCGCGTTAGAGCTGCATATGTTCATGGAATGAAGAGATATAGTGTACGTTTCGATTTTCTATCATCATTTCATACGGGTAAGCATGTGTTGAACATGTTTCAATGAAAGTTGCTTCCAAATGACTTTTAACTTCGAGATTGTTATCCATAGTGTCTGACTTTGTGATTGATCTGTTCTTCGCGACGCGTAGACGGATGTTGATATGAATATTTATTCTACATTCTGATTGGTAAGGATGTTAGCGTTTGTTTTCTTTAGCGTAGTGTTCCTAAAGAACCGAATTACAACTTGAATATTGTTTCACAACATTATTTCAATGTACCAAGGCTTGTGTATTTCTTTTTTAGCATTTTCATGCAGAACTGTTATATGTCCTTATGAACGCTAAGCCAAAGTGGCACTCTTACCGATGACCTCAGAAATCTGATATCAAATATTTCCAAAAACTAGAACGTGATCGATTCATATATTCAGTATTGGTCATATGACAAAGGTGGCAAATCAAAGCATTTATGGTTATCATCTTTAACACCTTAAATATAATTGGTGATCCACACAAAAATAAGAAACTGCAGTTTTAAAAATACTTAGAAACATACTTGAACCATTTAAATCTTAAGAAAAGCTTTGAAATATTCTCGAACTGTCTAATTCTTGTTGTTAATGCAATTCAGCATCTTTTTTATCTTGTTAAGGAATTATAGAAAAGAAGGCTGCTGCCTGCTGTTCTTCGTTACTTTGAAAAAGTATCAACTGATCACAACCTCAGTTGCTAAAGCATATTGCGAGCATTTTTATCATCGTTGCTAGAGCTATTAGCGACGTTAAAAACATTGATTAATAACCTCACTATCATTCTTTAACTCAGATTACTTTTAGAGATAGGGGCACAAACCTGGTCTTTGAACTTACACTCATAATTTTTCTTCGTCATATGTGTGAATTTTACAGAAAAAACACATGAAGAAAATTAGAAGCAAGCATAAAGAAACTTAGCCTATCGACAGCATTATTGATTTCTGCAACTCATCAAGAGATAATTCGTACATTTTATTCGACCGTGATTATATATTATGTTGATAGTGATTTTGAATTCTTTATGTTTTATTTGTCGATCTCATAGAAATCGATTAATCTATATATGTAGTTTTTCTTTGATTATTTTTCCAATAGAATATTCTATTTTTTATTATTAAGCTTGCAAGAATGCTAAATCTTGATTGAGAATGCCTTGATTATATTCCATTCCTCCTGAAATGTATTTGATTCTTCAACAGATAATTTAACATTCGATAATTGTTCTGTCAATCTTGGAAGTATAATTTGCATTTGTAGTTATTTATAGCTTAGGCATTATTCATCATTAGTCAATGTGTCGATTCCATCTGCCAAGATATTAAGCATTTCATAAAGCTCTTCTAATTCAGCTATACCAGAATTATAAACACCTGCAGTTGTTGTTCGAGGAAGATCTATATTCATTTGTCTATCTTTTGATTGAGATAACATTTGAGAAACGACTTTGAGTACGGCATGTTGATGTTATTCAGTCAAATAATGATCTTTCATTTTGGTTCGAAGGCTTTATGTTCATTGAATTTGTTAGCATATGGATCCGAATGTATGGTGTGGATGAAGACGAGACTAACATGCCATACCCACACCAATACTCAAACTGACGCTCACACCCTCATGATCAATGCAAGAATAATAGGAAAGATCTTTTTTTTTCTCAAACTTTGATTTACTCCAAAAATAGACAAATACATTCTCAGTTTTCAAAGCAACTGAACCATGACATTCGAATCTTGTCCAATGCGTGCATAATCTTAATTGAATTTTCATTATTGGCATCGACATTACCATTGGTAAGGACAATTACACCAATAGTACGCTGTTCATTAATAAGCATTGAATGTGTTGCAGCCGGCATTACTCCAGTATGACCAAAAAATCGACGACCATCACGTCGCTCTTCCCAAATCAAACCGAGACCAAAACTAAGCATTGGGTCCGGCAACTCAGTACTGGTTGAATTCGCACTTTGGTATGGAACAACACCGTCGATTGTTTGTCGCATTTCGGCAATCGAACGAGAATGCAACAATGGATATCCATTTCTCATGAGCATTCGAAGAAATAAAAATAAAGATTTCGCCGACATTCGCAAGAGACCTGCTGGATAAATACTTACACTATAAAATGGAATATCAAGCCAATTAGATAGATTGCTCTAAAGAAGAATCTTAGACATCTCTTTGGTTAACTGTTGTGTAGTCTACCTGTTTAACGTTCAGTTGTGGCCATTCTCCATTCCATTGATCGAGCAATGTGGCATTGAATGCATAGTGTTTCACTAATTCATCGGGATTATCTATATCAGACAGACGATATCCAGCTTTCTTCGTATCAATATTCAATGGTTTCAATATCTTCTCTCGAACATATTCTTCAAAAGGCATTTGTGTTACTCGTTCGACTACTAATCCAGCCAGAGCATTACCAACGTTTGAGTAGAGTGACACAGTGCCTGGTGGTGTTGGCAACCAGTTTGATGGGTTATCGAGATAAGTGTAACAAGCATCGGTCAATGATAGTATGTTCAATGCAGTATCACCAGTTTGCATGAAAGTGTTATATGCTTCTTCATTAATACCGATCGATGCCGAATGAGAGAGTAGTTGACGAACAGTGATCGAATCAGAAGGATATTGCGGATGAAAGATACGATGATTTAATGGTGATGATGATGATAGATATTGATTGATATCAGCATCGAGATCGAGTTTGTTTGCTTCAACTAATTGCATGGCAGCAACGGCGACGAACGGTTTTGAAATAGAAGCAAGAACAAAAATTGAAGCATCCACATCCATCATGCGTACTGGTGAAAGAGATCCATGACCAAATGCTTCTTGATAGAGAATATTGGTGTTATTCACGACGATGACAACTGCTCCAGGAACATGAGCATCGAGAAGAGACTGTTCAATAGATGATCGCGATAGACATTCTTTGGCAGAAGTCGATAGCAATAGAGTGAAAACAGTTGATACCAACAAGACCAACATGTTTCGTTTGGACCTTTGTAAATAGATTACTGATTTTATGAATAGAGAACATTGCTGTACGTAAATGTTAGGCTGTATGAGATTAAATCCTTATTTTCGTTAAAGGAGTGCTTGTTTGACATTGTTGACATCTTGTTCGTATGATCAATATATCAAATACGACTATAGAAAGGTCCATGCAAAAATCTGTAGTCGTCAATCAAGATGATTGTGTATGCTAAACATTGATCGATTTATGCGGATGTTCTAGATTTTATTGAATGATATTCCTATGTAGAAAATAACTGAGAAGTGAATCTTTAAGAAAACCATCTGACTTGTAAATCTCTGCGTGTCATGAAATATATTTTTGCTTTGTATAGAAT